GCATATTTCGTTAAATAAATAAAGCAAAGCAAATTACAGAAGCAAAAGACAGCAGTTATTCTATATTTTCTTTAACATTTTGTAGTTTTCAGACTACTTACTGAAGTTCTATCACTAATTCTACATTTTAATTATTTTTATTATTACATATTTGCAGTATATAATTATATTCATCATGTGGAGTTAGTACATGTACATAACACATCTTAATTCTTTCTTCATCTCCTTTTCTGTCAGAAGCCATTCTACATAATTTTGGGGGAGAATCATTTAATAATTAAATTATGATCAGGGCTGTCTGAAGCCTCAACAGTCCTGTTATACTGTGATGCTCAAGGGCAAGATTACATCAGAGGAAGACATCCTGGTTCTTTAAAAATTGAGTAGAAAGGTTTCACCTGGGGAGGGATAAATTCCTTATCAATTTAACTCATCCCACATACTGTTGTAAGAACATTTTGCTCACCTCACCATCCTAATCAGCTTAAACTCGATCCTCATCAGCATAAGATCCTTATGGTCCTAGGATTACCGCCACCTTCTGAGTCACCTGATACTTCCTTTGATTATAAGATCCTTGTCAATGTAGGATTATTGCCACCCTCAAGTCACCTGATACTCACCGTGAGCCCAATAAATAGTAGCAAGCTCGGAGTGCCTTCATCTTTGCTGCCCAGAGCAGCACAGATCAGGCCCAAAGCTCAGCTTCTTTTATAAGTCTCATTTCCTGTCTTAGTTCTTCAATTCATTTTGTGTTGTAGTGGCTCACATGAGATCAGGACTCACTTCAGAGGCTCTGGTAATTTCTCCTTTACCATTCCCTACACTTTTTTTTTCCTTTCTCTGCCTCATTCCTCCATCTCTTCGATCCCTTCCACTTTGCAAAAGATCTACTTCTCTGTTTCTATTACATGTATTTTATTTTATTCTTTATCTTATTTATATTTTGGGTTTCTTATATAACAGAAGTCATGTAACATTTAAGCTTCTGTGATTTATTTCACTTAACATTATGTCTCAAGATGCATCCATTTTCCTAAACGGAATTAGTTTATCCTTTTCTATGATATCTTTCATAATACTCCATTGTGTATAAATACCACATTTTCTTCATCCCTTCATCTGTTGTTTTAATTCTAATGATAATTTTAGTAAATAATTTGAAGTGAAATTGGTTGACTGTGTTTCTTTTCCACCTTTCATTTGAATATCACTTTCATTATATTTGAAATGGAAGCTATATTTTCACCAGATGCTTCAGCTATGAGCAGATTGCTGATGAACTGCTGCTGGGAAGTGATTTCCAAAGGCCTTCCCTATAGATGGGTTTTTCTAGAGTTCTTACCCAGCTGAGGGGGACGTTGAGAAAGCTCTCACCAATCCCATCCTGATGCTCAATGTGTTACTGGGTTTAGAATAGAAGCCGGTCCCCAACTCTGAACCTCACTACCTTCCCTCAAAGATCACCCACACCTTTAGTGAGCTGGTGCCTGTGCCCTACACACCAAATGCTTTATAGTCAGTACAGACATCCTCATAGGTGGCCCAGAAAACATCTACAGTACAACTCTTCATTTAGCCCAATACTGTATTGTAAAGGAGAGGGGGAAAGTATTACAGTCAGGGTTTTCTGGTCTCAAGTGCACCCCTCTCACATGTGTGTGGCCATCAGAAAGTGACGGGTCCACGCCAGCCTCAGGCTTCCAACAAGAGCTGCTGGGAGTCGGCGGCAGCCAAGCAGTTCCTGTAGCCCGGCCTGCACACCCAGAGGATTGATACTTATTTAGAATATCAATCACTGCCAGTCATCCCTAAGGGAAGTACGTGGGTATAGAAATTTCTCTCTTTTCATAATGCTAACCAGAATGTGTCTCAATCGCTTTCTATGCTGAGGTCCAGCTTTGTCTAATTGCCTTATAATTTCTAACTAACTTAACTAACTGCAGTACTCCTGCCTCAGCCACCCTCAGAGCACTGGGATTACAGGTATATGCTACCACATCTGGCTCTATTACAACGTGGTAGAGGACCAGGTGGGACTTTTACAATGCAACTAGAGCTCTGCCCTCATATGTGGGTTAATCCACTCATTTGATAGATGGAGCCACAGATTCATGGAATACCTCGAGCATGGGTCTGGTACAACAGCCCAGGAGCCTACGTCTCGCCTTGTGCCACCCTGCTCTGCCTTGACGCTGCCAGATGCCACCCCCAACCTCGGACCAGAGCTATCAGCCCAAACCCACCTCTTCTTCATAACCACCCAGACTGCAGTATTGTGTTATTAGCATCAGAAAATCGACGTGGACCCCAGGTATATATTTTTTAAAGTACGAATTAGTCTCTCTATCATTGCCCTCCTTAGTCTGTCTTGGAGCTCCAAGCTCCACCCATGCCTGGCTGCTTAAATCCAGCTTCCCTGCAATGAAGACGTTAGCTCCACTCGGACACTGACTTGTGTGGCTGGGCCTCTTCCGACAACCTGGTATTGCAGGAGCCGGGCCGCTGCCTTTCCCTGATTCCCGAGGGACCCACGCATACCTGTGTGGCGCCGGCTACACAATTCCCCAGTAGACGGGTGTCTCCTCTCCCCTGCTCGCTCTTTCCACCCTCCGATCACTGCCATCTGAGGGGAGAGCAGTAGAATTGGTGACTTCCCGGACAAGGGTCAGCATGTCTGTGGCAATGGAGTTAAACAGTGAAGCAGCACCTATGGTATTTGGCAGAGACCCTACACGGACACCGTTAGCGCTCGCTGTGGCCGTGTCTGGATGTCCCCCACAGCCTCACACAGGGCTGTCGTCGGGGACGCGAAGGACAGCAGGCAGCAGGAAAGTGGTTTTGCCGAGGAGCCGAGGGGCTGAAGCTCTCACAGGCAAACAGCAGCCAACTCTCACCAATCTTGGTTTTATTAGGTACATGCACAATACTTCCATGAGGATAAACAGTTAGTTCCTTACAGATTACCTCCAGCAAAGCATTAGAAAATATTTGTTATGAACCCCTGGTTCTAGTTATTCATATACTTTCTCAAAACAGGCTGCCCCCAGAATGTTATCGGATGGTTCTCAAGACTGTTTGCAGCCTTGAACTTCTGAGTTGTGGCTCCGTAATGCAGAACCACAACTGTGGTTCTTCCTGTCCATGTCCCAGTGTGAACTTCTCCTCTACAACACAGATCCTAAGGTGGGGCTGAATGTAGAGTGTGTGACGCTGGGTTTACACTGTGTGATTACTAAACCATGTGGATGATTGGTTTGGCACCACCCTAATCCCAGTAGTCCGAACAGGATAAAAGGGGCAGAAAGACACTGTTAAACTCTTCTTGCTTTGCCTCTGTCTGTCTGCCATGGACTGTTGCTGCTCTGCATTGGAGCCAGCTGATTATGGACTGAAACCTCTAGGACCCAAATACAGTGATGAACTCACCCTCGGGCCCTGGATCTATGCTACACATCTCGTACCCAGGGCTGGAAAACCTCGGGACTCATTGCCTAATACATTTGGGTTTCCCCTGAGCCTAGGCTGGGCACCCAAAGGCAGGACAGGGCGGACAGGCTGTCTCAGCCTTTCTCTCTGGCAGGCACTCTGTGCCACTGTGAGCCCCTGCCCTCCCGAGTCGTAAGCACAGGGATAGCTGGCCTTCCACTGGCCAAGTTTAAGCTGAGCACAGGGCTTGCCTCACAGAGACCACATTTCCAGACTCCCTGGGGGACAGGTGTGGCCAAGCAACTAAGCTGCCAAGTGACTAAGCAATGAGCAACCCTCGCTTAATAGGAAATTGCCTGTCCAGACTTCTGCTCTTTGTCCTTCTCTGGAGTTGGAAAAGCAACGTGCTCAGCCGAGGCCTAGCACACAAGGACTCCGATCTGATGCAAGCACCTTAGAATCTCCTGAGGCGTGGGCTCCTTAGGTCTCTTCTCAACAAAACATTCTTAAATGCATAAAATAAAATACCCTGCATAACACCCATGAGAGAGGCTGAAAACCCTGGACCGGTGACAAAGCAGAGCGACTGGCATGCATGCAGTGCTCATCCAACCCCAGAGATGCCGTTCAGTGTCGGAGAGCATCTACAACACCAACCCTACGTCCACCCCAGGACCCACAACCCCACCCATACCTTTATCTCCAGAGAATCCAGTGCTGCTATCTCCCGAAGATAGACAGCAATGCCCACGGTGGCTTTATTTATAACAGGAACAGGAAGCAACCCATCCATGCACCAAGAGGGGAGTAGACTCGTGTGTTGGTTCGTAAACTGGAGTACCGCACAGCGGGAAGAGAGAGCAGACCGGCAGACACCAGACAAAACCAGCCGTCTCCCACGGCGACTGCGCTGGGAAAGGAGCTAACGCAGGTGAGCACAGAGAGCACTCACATGGAAGTCCGGTGACGGTTACTTTCCCACCAGAGGCCACACAAGAAAGTGGCGAAGACCACAAGGAACCTCTGGTGCCATCCAGCAGGTGTACTCAAATGTATGATCTCGCCGAGAGCATGCTGCAGGTTGTGTTTCATATGCATTTATTCTGTAAATGTTAAACTCGACAAAGAGTAAGGCGAAGAGTAAAGCTGACAAAATAAGTAGAAAATAACCCTGTAACCTTGGCGCAGTGGTGCACATCTACAATCCCAGCAACTGGGAGGCTCAGGCAGGAGGATCGCAAGTTCGAGGCCAGCTTGGGCAACAGAGGGAATTCCAGGACAGCCTAGACAGCATGAAGACGGAGAGAGAGAAGAAAGAGAAAATAATATTCTTAAAATGATGTTGAAATGCACTAAATATATTTAAAAACAAAGTTGTGATGTCAGAACACAAGTACTTCAACACCCCATCCAACCACAAGAGGTAGCAGGTCTAATGATTAACATAATTTCAAAGTCGTGGTTCCTACAGATATTTTAAGATACTGAGGTTTGGGTAAAGCTATTATTCCTATTGGTAATCGGTGCCTATGTTCTGCTCCTAGGCCGCTGCTTCTTGCTGCATGCACAGCTGAGGAAATGCTGAATACAAGAAGGAGATCGCTGTGGCTCGAAGTCCCCCAGAGCTCGGGTCCAAATGTTATTGCTGTTGTGACAGAAGTAGGTGTGACCTTCAGGTCATGAGGACGGAAAGGATGGGCTAGGAATCTTAGCATGGGCCTCTGATAGAAGCATAATAGCCAGACGTGGTGGTGCACACCTGTAATCGCAGAACTCTGGGAGGCTGAGTCAGGAGGATTGCAAATTCAAGCCTGAGTGGGCAACTTAGTGGCTTAGCACGACCCTTAGCAAGCCTGTCTCAAAATAAAAAGGTCTGGAATGTGTAGCTCAGTGCAGTGGCCCTGGGTTCAATCCCCAGTACCACCCCCCACACACACACAGGCGACTTCACGCCCTCCCCTTTCTCTCTGTGTCCCTCACAGGCTCACTGCCTTCTGCCAGGCTGTGCTTCCACACAGTCGCCCTTGCCAGGCCCTGGTGCCGAGCTCCAGGACTCCCAAAGGGCAGGCACCCAGTCCAGCTCTCTAATTCCCCCAGTCTGTGGTGCTCTGCGATAGCAACAGCACGTGACAGAGCACAACTGCTCCAGTCCAGAAGCTGGAGCCTCTGAATCCCTCCCGCACCTGTGGAGAAGCAGCAGTCCCAAGGTGGGGAGGAGGAGTCCTAGGGGCAGGGAGAGCCATGGCGCACTTGTGGGGCTGTCAGGGAGAGGGCCCAGCAGGATTCAGGAGGAAAACCATGCGGGGGAGCACAAGCTTCAAATTACAGACTCACTTCTGTATTCCAAAGTAAAAGATAAAATACACACGATTCTGAAAAACTAGCCCCACATAGCAGCCTCCGGTTCCTAGGTCTGGGCCCAGAGTTGGATGGGTCCAGACCCTGCCTCTGTGTCTCTACAGCACCGCCTTCAGGGACGGAGATTCTCTATTGCACACACAGGGACCAATGTCTAAGATGCACGGCACACACACACTAAAAACAGCTCTCGGCCGTCCCAGAACATCCAAGAGTAAGAAGAAAATTCTCTCCCTGGGAAGATTTAGAATTAAGCATAAAAACATTTAAAAAGTCAAATCTGAGAGCTTACGAAATTATTACTGTGTCATGGAATGTGAATTTGAATTTTATCCACTTGCAACGTTTTCAATATTTGTGTTATTAGAGGCAGAGAGGTTAGTATAGTAATTCATTTTTTAAATCTTGATTATGTTGTGGCAGACGTTACTGCTCTTTGTGGTTTAGCAGGGTTGGGCCAAGAAGAACGGAGAACACATCAGGAGGCTGGAGGCAAGCGGACAGACAGCTTTCTTACACCAGTGGACTGATTGGGATTTCTCCACAAAGCCGTAGGCCCGGAGCCGGCAGTGAACAGGGTTTACATGGATCGAGGGGAGAGGGGCATAGATACAGAAGCAAGACACTTAACTTCATTGGCTGAGGAAGTTATGTTCAGTTGACACGATTGGGCAGAAAAGTACACAGGAGTTGCTCTCATTTATACACAGCAGGAAAGTAGGGATTACATCATCTTGAGGACGCAGACACTTCCTGAGAACAAAAGACAATGAAGGAGGACATATTTCGGGGGGCGCGGGTATGATCTGGTGGCGACTCTGTTAGGTCAGCTAGCTCCCAGAAAAAACTTTTTGCTCAGAAATCGTTTTTCTGGTTCAGTTTGATTTGTGATGCTTTTCATGAACATTTCACTAAGCTTTTATAGTGCTATAACATCAAAAGGATATGTGTTTAGTTTGTCAAGTATTATTAGGTATTTAAGAACTTGAGAAAGAAAAAAATTTTAAGGTACTTAAAAGGAAACTGAGTATATTATGACTACACAGTTTGGAATTTCTAAAGGAACACCCTTAAAGGTGATGGTTAAAATGCATCACGTGGGTAAATGCAGTAAGACATCAGACTGAACTTAGATGCTCAAGAAAGAACTAGATTTCATGAATTTTAACTGCTGCACATTAATTTTTAAAGTCAATGTAAATCCCTGAGATATCAACAAGGGATCTGCTTTAGCGGAGACAGAAAGGGAATCGATCCCCTGACCAGCTCCCAGAACCTACTTCTGGTAACCCAGGCAAGACAGTCATCCAGGCAAGGTCTCTGAGGCTCTTTTTTAAAATGCAGAAAACCTTCTCTTTGCAGACCCCATCGGAAAAGTAAGGGCAACCTGGGAGCTGCGGATTTCCCCTTTCTCCAGTGAGAAGCAAGGATCTGGAGACCCTGCGCCCCAGAGCATGGTTCCTGTTAGTTTCACTCAACACCTCTCCTTCAGGGAGAAACTTAAGATGATTGATGTATGAGATGGGATCGTGCTAAGACCAGAATATATGGTGATAACTCCAGGCTCGTTAGATTTGCCTGTCTCCGAGGTGACAGTTCACTCTCTGGTCCCTGTGTTGAGGTTAATAAGGACCCTCCAGTTTATTTTATTTAAAATTCTAAATTATCTTGCTGTCGATCAGATCAGCTGTGTTTTTAAAAATAACTCTCCATTACTGTTTCAGGAATACTATAACAAAGGAGCAAAGGAAGCGGGAGGAAAAATTCACAGTAATAAATCAGTGCCTCTCGTGAAAGCTCATTTTAGGTGGCAGTGAATTAGAATATCGACGTCAAAAGATGGGAAACTGAATTAAGCAGCCTGCATAATTTCTTCCTCCAACACCCACTTGTCAGAATTTATTTTTGCAACATTTAATATAGGAAATGAATCATTGCTCGAGGAGGTGTCACTTTTGTGAACAACAGGCGTACAAATCATCCGAGCAGCCTCCCTTGGTCCAGGAAACGTCTCCTTCACTGAACACACGCTCGAGGGCTTAGGTGTCCTGAGCCCAGGAACCTGCAGACCGAAGGTCAGCCACCCCCAGCCTCCACCCCGGCCATCCCATGTGCGATCTAGAGAGCAGCTGTCACATTAACTGTGCCTTCCCCATTGTCACGCAGGGAGCCACGCTTCCCCCTCCACTACGATTTGAGTTAGTTTACAAATGCCATTGTGAAACAGGGCCGCAGTCCACACCTTCCCACCCCAGCCTCCCACTTGATAGCTCCACTGAAGCCTGGTAGAATCTCCTGACCAGAAATCTGAATTACAGTAATAGCTCCCAAGGCTTATGAGCTGCCAGACAAACTCATACTTTACTTTTAAAAATCTGACCCTCACTGGGCACCACAGAGCACTTATAGTCTCAGCCACTCCAGAAGCTGAGGCAGGAGGGCCTCCGGAGCTCAAGACCAGCTTGGGCAACTGTCTTTAAGGAAAAAAAAAAAAAAAAGCCTGAACCAACTGTAACACCTCTAGATCTTTAGTAGATCTAGCCCTGCCAGGGTATTTGCCCATGAGTCATCCTCCTCCCAGGATGGGCCCAGGGGTGGGGACAGCCTTCAACTCAAGCCTTCTAATTGGTGGAAATGAGCCCCCAGGTTCAATTTGTTGGTGCAGATAATGGGCACGGGCTTAAGGCAGCAGGCGCGTGGCACAAAGGAGGGTTGCCCCCTTCCTTTTCACCCCAGTGCAGGAGGGGCAGTTGGACCCACTCCCATTGGCTGGTTCGGAAGGTCACAGTCTATCCCAATTGGTTGTCTAGGGGAAGCAAAGCAGGGTGGAGGGGAGTGTGAAGACCAGAAAATCCTTGACCTGTGGTAAGCTGTCTTTGGTCTGCAGCTGTGTTCCCATCACTGGAACAAAGCAGGTGTTTTCCATAACTTGGTGTGCTCAGGCAGGGCTGTCTAGGATGGGTCAGAGTCCAAGATGAAGTCACTCCTGTTGAATAGAAGAGACAGAACCTACTGTTTCCCACATAATCGGGGGCTTCCCTAGGCTGTGTGGACCCCTAGGGGTTGCTGGTCAGACTGGATTCTGTGAAAGCATGGAACCCTGAACAATTCCACCAGATCACCAGCTGCTCCTCCTTTTGTCTTTCCAGGCCCCAGTGCACCGACTTGGGAGCAGGGAACGGAGCTGCAGCATTGCTGACCGGAATGAACAAAGGGTCAAATGAGGTAGGCTGGCTGGGAAAGGGTGTGGACGGTCCTCCGCTGGGACGTGTGCCTCTGTGTCCCTGGACAGCGGTCGGGGCCCCCACTGCACTGCCTGATCGGGCATGGCAGCACCCCCCTGCCCCACTGCCACATCTAGGGGTCAGAGACACTGCCAACCACAGCAGCACAGCCCAGGAAAGGACTGACTTGGAAGGCAGGCTGCCCTCTCCCACCAGCACTGTGCTGTTTCACCACAGCTCATCTGGGTGCGCTTTTGGAACAAAGGACTTTCATTCTTCTACTATCACATGGCTCTGGACTTATAACACACAAGTGACACGGGCCTTCTTTTTAAAACAATTACTGCCAGCTGTGATGATGCACACCTGTAATTCTAACATCTAGGAGGCTGAAGCAGGATGATCAACGCAAGTTCAAGGCCAGCCCTGAGCTATATAACGAGGTGAAGGCCAGTCTGGACTATATAGTGAGACCCTGTCTCAAAAACAAAACAAAACAAAAAATACTCACAAAGATCTGTTGGCCGGCCCTGGCATGGTGGTGAACTCCTGTAATCCCAGCACTCGGGAGGCTGAGGCAGGAGGATCACTGTGAGTTGAGACCAGCTTGGGCTACATAGTGAGTGCCAGGTCAGTCTCAACTACATAGTGAGACCCTGTCTCAAAACAAAACCAAAAAAATAAAAATAAAAATAAAAAGACCTATTGGCAGAATTACAGATGTTACCAGGGGTGTTTGGAAAGAAAATAAGGAAAGTTCTTTATGTCTTTTTTTTTTTTTTTTTTTTTTTTTTTTTTTTTTGGTGGTGCTGAGGATTAAACCCAGGGTCCTTGTGATACAAGGTGTATGATCTATGGACCTCCAAATAATATAAGGGAAATATTATAACTCCCAACCTGCTAGGTGTCCAAAAATGTGAAGTCATGTTCTCTAAAACTGAAGATGTCCTGAGGTTAAGAGTAGGAAGAATTTATCAAAAGCTGGCTTCTGCTGAAGAGAGACAGAAGGCGCCTGGAAAGTGAGTTGCCCAAGGACTTCGCTTTTCAAGGGAGTTTTATAGAGCAAAGCCACAGGGTGAGGCAGGCACAAGGTGGAACAAAACTACAGTCAACTAAGATTACAAGTACAGCTGCTTAGGCAATACTGATTAAACAGGAATCAAACAGGGCAGCAAATCATGTAGCAAACATATATGGAATGAGTGAGGACAAGCATTTCCCGGCAGGGACCGGTCAGGGACCTTTCCTGGAAGGGATGGGTAAGGTCTTGGTCCCCGCCCAGGTGAGTGATGCCTAGAGTGGCGGTTACCGCTCTTCATCCTAGGGCAGTGGGTGTAGTGCTCCTCTCCACTTGAAGCCTGGCCCTCAGTGAATGTGTCTCCAGACACGGCTGTCCTCTGCACTGACTTCTTTGAGGGCCCAGCCCTGCCTGATGCCTTTTGTTCATTTGTTTCTTTGGGTTTTTTGAGACAGGGTCTCGCTATGTAGTTGAGGCTGACCTGGAACTCATTATGTAGCCCAGGCTCATCTTAAACTCACAGCGATCCTCCTGCCTCATCCTCATGAGTGCTGGGATTACAGACATGCACCACCACGTCCGGCCTGGTGCCTATGTTTTTGACTAACTTAGCTGTGTACAATACTTGCACTGGGCTACCTCCCAGCACCCCCCACCCAACCCCGTTTTTTTTGGTACTTGGGAGGCAGGCAGCAAAAACACTGAGCTAAATCCCCAGCTCCCAGCCCTTTATTTTTAAAAATCAATTTTGAGACAGAGCCTCTCTAAGTCATGCAGTTAAGTGTCCTGAGGTCTCATTGTCTTCACCTAAAAAATTAGCTAAAATAAATAAATCATAGATGTTCCCCAATCTCCCTCCCAGCTTCAGAATATTCCACCCTGCTTGGGGTGGTGGCCCTGGCAGCCTCGTTTATGTGAACACCAGGCCACATTCTTGGGACATGTGGTCGTGCAGGGTCAGCTGGAGCCCAGGCAGAGTAGAGAGCAGAACCTGGGTGTCCTGAGCCAACAGCAGCAACCCACAAGCGTATGTCACTTGGTTTGTTATCAGCACACAGGTTAAGATCAGGGATCACTTAAATCGACCAGCACTCTTCTGCGTCCTGCTGGAAGCTGAGCCGTGAAGAAATGGAGAGAGATCCACAGATCTGTCGGCTGTTTATAGAACCATGGCCCTGAAGGTGACCCATGGCCCCCAGAGCTGTTCACTGCCCAGCAACATGCAGGGGATGAAGAAAACAGATCTCCCCCACACCTCGAAGGGAGCACCCCCTGCCAGCACTGCCACCCTTCTGGATAATAAATTTCGTGTTGTTTTAGACCACTACATTTGTGGTGATTTGTAACAGCAGCAACAGGAAACTGGTACATGGTGTGTGTCCCCACACTTGAGATTTCACACGATGGCTGAAAACTGAGACTGAAAGCAGAAAGCTGGCGTGGTGACACACACCTGTGATCCCAGCACTCTGGAAGGCTGAGGCAAGAGGATCTTGTTATAAATAGCGAATGTGAGCACATCCACAGACAGACTTTGTGAAAAACAAAGGTTTATTCTAGTGACTGAAATGGGGGGCAGATTTCAGCATTTCAGCTAGGAAGAGATTTCATCTGTGTGTGGATGCGCTAACATCAAGAGAAGATACTAAAAGCAAGCTGGGAAGGGAATTAGGTTTATATAGGTATTGAAGGGGCTAAAGAATCTGGAGTGAAATGTTTATGACCGAGAGTCCAAGGACAGTAAGTGCAGGTGTGCCGATAATCACTGTACTTCCAGGCACTGGTGAGATTATAAACTCTGTCCTAAATTTTCTTTGTGGCCATCTGTCTAGTAGCCCATTGTTTACAGAGAGCAGCCTATTTGCTTGTGAAGGTCTCATTCAGGCCAGGCTTGACAAATCTCAAATTTGCACCCAGGCTGGGCAACTTGGCAAAACCATGTCTACAAAATTTTTTTTTTTTAATTTTTAAAGGTTGGGGATGTAGCTTGGTGTGAAGGTCCTGGGTTCAAGCCCCAGTACCAGAAAAAGAAAGAAAGAAAGAAAATACATAGCACATTAAAAGCTCCAAAATAAAATTACAAGGAAATGAAAGGAAATATACTTCTTTTGACAGTGAAAAATACAGTTGTTCCTCTTTCAAAGGCTTTGAGCCAGCAGCACCAATTGATCAGGGAGACTGAGTGAGTCTCAAACTAAAAGAAGGGTGAAATTGGGCCAGGTTTAGCTCAGTGGTGCTGGCACCTGCCTCGCAAGCACAAAGTCCTGAGTTTGATCCCCAGTACAAAAATAAAAAAAGTAAAGAAGGGGAAAGTTAATCAACAGGCATGAAATTGTCTTGAGCCTTAGAGGTGTTCCAGTACCAAGTTCCAAGTTCCAGAGAGAAAGCAAAAAGATTATAAATACATTGTACTGGCCAGGCAGGGCCAGAGGCAGGAAAAGACCATGAGTTAAAGAAGGCAATGACAGAGACCCAGCATGCCCCTGGAGAGGAATCCTCTAAAGCAGAACGATTCTGTAGCCACCAAGAAGCCTCCCCAAAGTCAGGAGCCAGTCCTAGGGCCCAGAGTATGCATGACTGAGGAAACGCCAGTGAAGGGTACATTCTGACATTTGCTAGATTATAGAATAACTGACTTCATTTATCTGATAATTTCAAAGTTGTGTCCTGTGAAATTTTTCAGATGTGCAGTGGTCCCCATTAGGCATGAAGGGGTGCTCCAGGGCCCCCAGCAGACGTCTGAGACCACAGACAGCATCTGACCTGCTCACTCACCTGCCTTTCCCAGCTCATCCAAGAACCTGGCAGATACTATAGCTATGGCTTTTGCAGCCTGAAGGACAACAGAAAAGCATGAATTTCTTCCTTCTTCATGACTTCATGGATAAAGGATTCATTCTTTCTACAGATTTTAGCAAGCTTAGCATATAAATTTTTTTCTCGTTAGTTAAGAACTTTCATCTTCTCACTTAAAGGAAGAACTTGATAGTTTCTCCTTGACCTATTGGAACTGTCAGCATCGATGCTCTTGGACTTTGGGGACCATTTTAAGTAAAATAAGAGTGACTTCAACATAAGTATTGCAATGTTGCTACAGTTGATCTGATAACTGAGTGAATCATGGGAGGGTAACATATACCAACTGGATCCACTGAGCAAGGGGACGACTCTTGGTCCTGGTGGGACTGAGATGACAGCATGAAATTTCTTCCTGTTACTCAGTTTCATCCTATTACTCAGGTGGTGCACTCTTTAAAGCCCAGGAATTATTCATTTCTGGAACTTTCCATCTAATATTTCAGGTCACATTGACTGTGGGTAACTGAAATTGCATAAAGCAAAACCACAGATAGGGCAGATCTGCTGAACACCGAAGAAGACAAATGGGCAGGTTTACCTGTGCCCTTGACTACTGCCTGACAGGGGAGCAAATCCCTCACACACCATGTTGATAAATATTTTGGTATTTGTCTCCAAAATTAAGGATTCTACCTGGCCATTAGGGATGGAGGTAGTAGGAGGCATGGAACCCAGGGCCTTGTGCACTCTAGGCAAGAGTTCTACCAGTGGGCTACACCCCAGGCCTTTTAAAGTTTTATTTTATTTTTACTCAGGGTCTTGCTAAGTTGCCCAGGCTATCCTTGAACTTGCAATCCTTCTGCCTCGGCCTCCTGAGTACTGTAGCTGGGGATCCAGGCATACTCCACCACACCTGGCTCCACCTGACTGCTATTTAATAAATACCCATGTTCAGCTGCTCTGCCTCCCTGGCCCACCTGCTCACGTGGTCCTTGTTCTCCAGCAGTCTGACTTACTTGTCCTCATCTGTGCTCTGTGTTTTAGAGGTGATGTTTTGCTGAACCTACTCTCTGAAGTTGGCACTGTGATCCGCTTCTTTGAGTGGGAAACCACTGGCTGTAGAAAGTGGGAAATTCTGGAAGGCAGCCCTGGCCTGTCTGGCTCCTGCACCTGTGCTGCGACTGAGGTCTGGACCTCGTGTTTATCTCCATCTTCCTACCCCTCTGCTGGGTGGGGAAAAGCGGGAGCGCACATCTTGCTTCTCCCAGACACCGGGCACCTTGGGAGTCACCGTGTTTGCGGGGGGGAATCAAGAACCTTGGACTCCAGGCATTTCAAATCTCAGAGGTGGATTTTCTAGAAAGCTGATGAAGCTCACACCTCAGGGTCTCTAGCTTGCTGGGACCCAGCCCTGAGGCAGGTCCTACTGATACCTCCACACAGTTGCTATGGTTTTATGAAAGTAGTAAAAGGGATCTGCAAAATCTTTCTCACATGGAGCCCCTGGAGTTGCGTCGCTCAAGCCCCACACCTGGCTCCCCCTTGCAAATTCTGCTCCTCCCTGCAGCCTGGTACTGGCCGAACCCTAGGGCTGCAGCCAGAGAAGGAGGATGGGACAACCTCACGGTCAGTACAGGGCCAGCATCCCCGCAGGCACACGCAATGTTTACAGGTGGCTGAGCAGATGCATTTATGAGAACCACAGGTGCACTGCGGGTTAAATGAGCTTTTGTGGGCAGACAGGGAGAGGGAAGGCCGGAGAAAGCACTGGTTCTGTAAAGTATGTTTTCCAAACACCAAGGATCACCTGAGAAGAGATTGTCCAGGCACCACCAATGGGCTGTTTGATCAAGTCCACACGTACAGACCCGGCTTCGTCCTCAAGGTCAGACTGAACACCTGCCCTCTAAGCCTTCCTGCACAGGCAATGAGCTGAGGTTATTTTTTCTCCTCCCTCTCCCTCTCTCTCTCTCTCTCTCTCTCTCTCCCTCTCTCCCTTCAGTGCTGTGGATTGAATCCAGGGCCTTTGCACTGAGCTATAGCCACAGCCCTTTTTTATTTTATATTTTGAGGCAGGTTCTCACTAAATTGAGAAGTTTTCAGGCTGTGCTCAAACTTATGCTCCTCCTGTGTCAGCCTCCCAGAGTGCTAAGGAGGGTACTGCCACACCCAGCTGGATTTATGCTTGTCCTGAAGTCCCAGCACACACCTCCCTGTGACATCTCCTGCCTTCTGTCTCCTTGCCTATGAGCCCAAGGTGAAAGTCCCTTTCCTTCCCGTGCCAGAGTCCCCTCTCCCCGAGGACTGGCTCCAGAAGCAGTGACTGGCTGGATCAGCAGAGGAGCTGGAGAATGACAGTGAAATCCAGGAGGGGTCCGCCTCCCTTTCAAACTTCTAATTCCCTGGTGTACCTCTTCCCTCCAGCAGTGAATCCTATTACAGGTCATGAGATAACCTTGTTCCTTTCACTGTTTCTCCCTGGGAAGTTTAGCTTCTTTACACTGAACCGTGGTCCTGGTTTCTGCAGTGTCCCTGGGGTGGACTCTGCACAGGAGCTGAGCACGGCTGTGGGGGGGAGCGGAATGAGCAGCAGGGGCTTTGAGGCCATGGGGTCCTCCGGCCACCAAAGGTTCTGGCCAGATGGGCGAGCGAGCTTGCTGTCAGGGCCTGTAAGCTCGCAGGCACAGGGCGGCAGTGCTGTCCACAGTCTCCCACTGTCCTCAAAAGGTCCGCACTGCAGATGGGGCCACGCTCGCTCTGAAAAGCCTTGACATGCTAAGACTAAGGCGGTGACCCTCGGCTGGGGTATGGCTCTGTGCTAGAGAGCTTGCCCAGCCTGCCTGAGGCCTTGGGTTCAATCCCCAGCACTGCAAAAAAGGAAGAGTAACCCCTTTAGCTATCAAATGAAATCAAAAGTGGAAAATTCCAGTGAAATCTAGTAGGGAAAATCAGGAAGACAGAACATTTATGTCGGTCTGCATCAGTTCTTAGATTGGGGGTTTCCAGCAGCGGCAGATCAGTCCGGGCTCTCCCACGTGGATAATCCCCAGCAGACAGGAGACATGTGCAGGGACTCTGTCCCTTGAGCCACAGCCTCAGACCCCAGCAGTGAGGATGCAGCCTGGCCCGAAGCCCCCCAAGGGCAGGGGGTACAAGTCCCAGAGCCCAAAGGCTGAGGAGCCGGAGATGCAGCTCCCCGCGCTGGGTCCAGGAGGCTCTCAAACCCACCCCACCTGGGGAATCCACTTGCAGTGTGGCTGAAAAAGAACATTCAGATGCGCTAGCAAGAGGCTCAAAGGATTTAGTAGGCAGAAATTTAAAGTACAGTAGACACGCAAAGGTGTGGAGTGCGGCCTGGGGATGGGAGCTGCACGGGCGTCCTCAGGATGGTGATCTGGGCTGTCTCCTCCGGTCTGCCCCGCTGGGCTGAGTCAGAAAGCAAACCATTACTGGGCGTGAGGCCGATGTCCACAGCTCTCTCCTGCTGCGGCGTCCTGGCCGTTCCCAGAGAAGCGCAGGCCCAGCACCTGAGTGACAGCCCGTGGTGTCTTTAACACCTTTAGGAGTTTTTTTTTTAAGCGAGTTCCCTAGAAGGGAAAAGGCTTGAGTAACTTTCGTGTCCTGAAGCTGCAGTTTTCCTTTAAAACACAATTTTAGAACTCTGATTTTCCTCATCTGCTGAGCAGTGGTGGGAGAGAACACGCCCCACTCCAGAAAGCCCGGGGAAGGGTTCTGCCTCCACTCACCCAGGGGTAGGGTCTTCCCCACCTGCTCCCCAGGGCCCTGTCCAGTCGCGGTGACACCCACCCCGGCCCGGCCCGAGGGGCAGAGGTGATGAGCGTTCTGTCCCCGCGCCTGGCAGTGATTCGGGGACTCTGCACTTCAGGCCTTGTTAATCTTCGGCACCAGCACAGGGAGCTCTGTCCTTGCAAAGTAGGCCTCGTGCCACCATCAGGATCCGTGCGAGGACAAGGGTGGTGCAGGGCCAGACTCGGGCCAGAGTGAGGGCCCCACAGAGCCGACCTCAGGGCTGGATCATTCTGGCTCTGTGCCCTTCACACGGGTCTGAAACGTAATGAACTGGTTAAGAAGAAATTCCGAACATTTTAAATAACAAGATAAGAGCCAGGACAGCAACTCTCTGGCTGTCCCAGGAGTCACAGTTGGCACCCAGCTGCCTGTGTGCCTGCAAGGCAAGACGGAGCGGAGCCTGTCACCCGCAGGCTCCCAAGTGGGCAGTGCCACCTCGCTGTCTCCAGGCCTCCCCTGAGCCGTGCAGGAGGGGTCGGGGCCAGGACCCCTGAGTGGCTGAGCACTGCAGATGGATGTGTTACTGGGACCATGGCTCGGGGACAAAGGGAAGAGTGGCTGGGAGGGAGCTGGAGTTCGACCAAGGTCTTACTGCTATAGGTTTCCTCACTTCATGCCCGTTACACTCCCAGGGACAGAGCCAGGAGAGGATTCCGGACGGGGTGGCTTGGGTGGGAAGTTGGTTCTGACTCTTGCCAACTCTGCAAGTAGACCGCTCCAAATTGCTGTTCCCTTCCTCAGTGTCTTCCCGTGGAGAGGAGATTTCCTCCCCGGAGAACTACAAGCACAAAATGCAGCAGGCGTGGAGGACGAGGCCGATGGACGTCGCAGAGTGAGCGCCCCCTCCCTCTGCATCCACGTTCCAATGGAGCGCGCAGTATCCAGCTTTGGGGACTGCTGAATCTTCAGCCTGGGAGGACTTTGGATCAGGGCATCGGGCTATGACCACTTCTGTGCCTTGGTGCAGGCTGCCATTTGTGACTGGACACAGGGGCCGTGGGCCATGGCCTTCCCTTCAGTCCCGGGGCTCTGTAGCTTTTCCGGCCCAGCTACTGCTCACCAGGACTCTGAACCACAGCAAACTGGACCTGCTGGTGAGAAATGGAAAAACGACAGTGTTGCTTATTCTCGTTTGCTCTGGACTTTTGTGACTGCCCAGGGAGGGCTTGACTCACGACTCATCCTAATGACCTTGAGCACTGCTCCTAACACTCAGGAGTGTCCCAGCACACGCTTGCTCACGCAGTGTGTCACACTCTCCCATCCAGCACGAGTAACACCCATAGAGTGACCTCGGCCACTGATGTCATAGGAGCAGCAAGACACACAGCTGTGGGAGAACCAAGGTGCCTCTATGAGCACAGTGGGTCAAAGCAAAAGCTAATACAGAGAGCAAATCAAGAAAAATCATCATGAAGGTCAAATAGCATCTCCCGTTTTCAGGAGACCAGAGTCAGCATTCTTTCGGTCAGGATATAAGCTAACCGTCTGCAGTGTCTCCAGCTGCAGCAAGTCCCTGGTTTCTGTTTCACAGAAATGGGGGCCACTGTATCTTGGTTAATTTCTTGATCCATTATTTGAGAGAATCTCTCGTCAGAAACATATCTTTAAGCATTCCAAAAGATGGGAATCTCGCAGTTACCTAGGTAACCACTGGCAGGTTGGAGAGGTCCAGTTGCAGAATTCTGGCAGCACCGGTTGGGGGGCCTGGTCCCAGGAAACAATGACCACTTGTGACAGAGAGGGTGCTGAGAGCTCAGAGCTGACCACAAGAGGTGGCCAACGTGGCTCCCGACCAGTACTTAGTGAAAGGAACTGTAAGGATACACAGAGCAAGTTGTAAGCGTCCATCCACCGGCGCAGAGCACAAGGAAAATCTAGCAGGACAGTGAGTGTGAGAGGAAGGAGGGAAAGGCAGGGGCTCCTCACATACTGGGCCTTGAGAGTTGGAGTCTGACAAGGAAGCCCAGGATTGTGCTCCACAGGTGTTCACAACTTTTAAAGAAATGTGTTTGACTCTATACAGAATTCCAGAAGTGATTTATCAGATTCATAAAATGTATACTTTTTCAGAACAACTGAGTATCACTCAGGGTAGAGGAGGAAGCAGTTGTATTTCTGCCTAGCAAACAGTGTTCACCATAGTAACTAGGAAGCATATTTGCTTTATAGATGCACCTTGAACATAGGTCATAGAATGCCTTTTTTATCTTATCAAAAGGGCCGGAAGATATACGTGACCTCTACACTGTACACTGAGTTTAACACAGCTGAACCTTGTTCAAAGAGGAAGGGGAAAGTTGCAGTCTTTTCACAGAAAAACTTTTAAATAGATTTGATTTGATTTACAATATAAACCCAGGAATGCTACTTAACTGGTAAGAGCAGAATTTTGCCGATTCATGAAATTTTCCATCTATGCAACCATTCCAATTTTCTGTGTGATTTTTATTTCTCGAGTTTTCCAGGTGTACTCTTAAGTCCCTTAGGATCAACGAGGGAGGGTAACGCTTGGGAGAGGCTGCAAGAAGTTGAGCACCTCATTCCGGCAAAGCCTCACTGCTGTTCCGGAGCCATGGCAGGCACCACCCTAGAAGGTGACATTGTACCTCCCTCTCGATGTGGAAGAAGAACAGGAACTACTTCTCCCAATTTCTGGCATCTCTGTTTAAAAATATCTGCGTTTCGGGATAGAAATCCTCTTCTCAGGGAACATGACTCTGTCACTATTAAATCTTTTCATCGGGAGTGATTTTTAAAGCTAGTATGTGATTACAGACTCTCATTCTTTATTTTTATTCGTACATGTTTATGTTTACCTGCCGTGCTGGGAGTTGATGCACATGCATACCACATCTTAATCCTTGGTACCTGCCTTTTCCCTCCCTTCCCTCACCCCTCCCTCCATCTCTTGGTGGCCTTCCCATTTATAAAAGATCTCCCTATCCCCTAAAATCTATCTTTTATTTTGCTCTTAATTTATTTGTACTTTGGATTTCTCATCTAAGAGAAACCATGGGATATTTAAGCTCGTGTGTCTGATTTACTTGCCTACAAATGACTTAAATTTATCCTTCTTTATGGCAGAGTCCGTTGTGTATAAAAACGACATTTTCTTTCTCTTTTTTTTTGTACCAGGGATTGAACTCATGAGCTTGCACATGTGAGCGACACAGTGCCACTGAGCTAAATCCCTGGCCCATTACTACATTTTCTTCATCCATTCATCTATCGGTGAATATAGAGGCCACCTCCAAGATTTAGCTATTATGAGTTGTGCTGCTAGAAACATGTGAATGTATATTTTGTCTGAGGAAGCAAATAGATAGTTTTGCTCTTCAAAAATGTAAGTTTTTGCGTATCACCTGAGGCTAAAACCTGAACATCAGGTCTTCTAAGGTAGGTATAGTCATAATAAAATTTAATATACAAATGGAAAACAATAAAATATTCCTATTAGCTTTTGCATTATTTTAAAAATTGTACTTCCCAGTGTGATGCTTGCCCTAATGATAATATGCCGTCAAAATCCAGCCATCGTTTTCATAACTGTTTCTCGGTCGTGTCTTCTGTTAAGTGTATGGCTGCAACCTTGGAAAGCTGATGGAGGATAATGGAAAAGGTATGTGGACATGCTCACCAAACCCCTGAGGTGCGGCTGCTCCCCGGGCCCTGTGTCCGGGTTCATTCCACAGCCTGACTCTCCTGTCTCGGCCCGCAGCACTGCTCTCCAGTTTCATAGAGGCGAAAACAGTGGGGTTATTCCTTACCCACATGGAGCTAACCGTAGAAAGAAGGAAAAGAAGAAACACTCTCCACAAAGCCCCCTGCCTTCCACCGGCCGGAGCTGCTGCCGCTGTGAGGCAGAGCTGAACACTGGTCTCTGGGCGATCCCAGCTGGACACAGTCCCCGCGGAGGCAGAGACACCCCGGACACCGCCGGCCAGTGTAATGGGCGGACCGGGTTGGCCCTGCTCGGGTACTGAATGCCAGTTTCGGCTCAGCACCCTTTGTGAGGTATTCGCATTTTGCTGGAGAAGGCTGGGAAGGAATACATCCCAAGGGAGGCCGGGAGACAGTCACAGAGGCATCTGCAGAGAGGCAGCGCAAGCCAGGCGTGGTATCGACCCTCGTGTAGATGGAGATCAGCTGTAACTTACAAATCTGGACACAAATTCTCTCTTTGGTTTTGGCTTAATAGTATAAACATCATTTTTTTCAAACACACAATGAAATTTTATTTTGCATACTTAATATTACACAGAAATGGAAATACCGATACTACGTAAACATTACTCAAACTACACTGATTTTCCTGGATTGACAGCTACATTTTTAAGCAGGCCTTGTAAACACATCCAGTATAAATCCATCTCCAGTGAGCACAGCCTCAAGGCAGGGAGGCTGCCATGTGGGGCCAGCAATAAACACGTGCTTGATATGTAAAACTAGATTTTGACATTGAGTTTACAGTCTTCTATTACAGCTTTAATTTATTATTACTTATTGGAGCATAGTAGTAATAAAAATAGTGAGATCCCTTTCGGTATATCGGTACACTCATATAAAATATTTGGATTATTTTTATCCCTCCACTTTCTCCCCTCATCTCTAAAACCTTCTATTTTTAAAAACTCCTACATAGTGCTTGCTGGTTGAAAGCTATGGCATCAAACGATTTGAACCAAGACATTTCCCCGAGTCTCCAGCCCGCAGGCCTACCCTGCAGATTTTTCCAACACAATCATGTGAGCCAGCTCCTTAAAGCAAATGTATCTATCTGCCTATCCATCAGCCATTCATCACCCTTGAGTTCTGTCTCTTTCTCTGGAGAACCCTAATCCCTGCATCCTCAGTGCTTTCAGAGATGACGTATCGCTTTGCACACTACTGGCCCTGGCCCTCTCCCCCTCCCTCTCTGTCTCCCTCCCCTTGTTCTGGGGATCAAACCCAGGGCTTGAGCCAAGGAAGGCAAGCACTTTACCACGGAGCTAAACTCCTAGCCCCTCTTTGCATTCTGGAGTTTATCTCAGGATTTTAAAAAGCCATGTACATAAAAAAGATGGAGAAAAACATGAGCTTTACCATTTGTGAGGCACTTCCACAGGCATATTATTAAATCTTCATACAACTTTGATTTTTATTGTTAGCATCACAAATTTACAAAGTATCAGAGTCTCAGAATTTAAACGATTTTTTTCAGATTCATAAAGTGCATAACTGAAAAAGCAGGAGATTGCTTAAATATAAACTTCAAATCTTGTTTGTAACCTTTTCTATTGAAAAACTTTAAACATCAGAGTAGAGAGGAATAATTTTTCCCATTATTTAGATTTAACAATTAATATTCAACGTATTTGCTTCACAGACACTATTTTCTTGTTTACTGAAACATTTTACATTGTAGATGTGTCGTTTCCCTCTTACTCAGAATATACCTCTGAAAAAAGATGTTTGCACACACAACTATAGTAAAACAGCACACCAGACCTAAGGTGCAGCGAATCCCTCTCCACTGATGTCCATCCTCCATAAAAACCGCCCCAATTGTGCCCAAACCATCTCTGACACCTGCTTGTTCAAACCAAACTCCAACTAAGGCTCATGTTAGCCAGTTTTCCATTGCTGTAACAAATGCCTGGCATGATCAACTTAAAAGGAGGAAAGGTTGATTTTGGCTCATGGGTTCAGAGGCTTCTGCCCAGTCTACAGTTGGATGACTCCCCTGACTTGTTTTGTTTTTTTTTTGTTGTTGTTTTTTGAGACAGGGTCTTGCTGTATAGTTCAGGATGGTATGGAACTCACTAGGTAATTCAGACTGGTCTCAAACTCGCAGCGATCCTCCTGCATCAGCCTCCCAAGGTGTTGGGTTTCCAGGAGGGCACCACGAGTCCCCGTGGCTCTGGTTTTGTGGCTGTGGTAAGAACAACATGGCAGAGTCTGTGGTGTAGCCAAGGTGTTTATCTCACAGTGGACAGGAAGTGAGGGAGAGAAAGGGGTGGAGCCTCAACAGCCCTTCCAGCCACTCCCCCAAGACCTGACTTCCTTCCTTCCACTAAGCTCCACCTCTTAAGGGGCCCCCACCTCCCAGTAGCCTTCAACACAGACCATCTAAGTGTGGCAAGGTTCATGCCTTACATTCGGTTATTTTGAAAGTTATTAAACTTTCTTTTAATCTCAAACAATATTCCTCATTTCTACTTGTAGTGTTGACATTGATATCACTTTGGAGAATTACGTTTTCCCAAATGCTTTTTAACTTGCCTCTTCTCCGTCCCCTATATTTCTAATAAGCTGGAAATTAGATTTTACAACTTGATTATATTCAAGCTAAACATGTTCTCTCTTTTCTATACCACTCTGACTTCTCAAGAACTCTTACTAATAATAATTACCCGTTTAGCTTTGTCAGTGATTTATTTGGTTTGGAAAGTGCAGAAACCAGAAAACTTGTGAAGCCTTTGGGCATGCTGTGGCAGTCTCTGTGCTTCCACGGAATCCAATCTGGGGGCTTCTCTCTGTGTTATCTATAATGCTGAACAATGCTGACTGTTTTAAAATTACATAGGTCCTCAGGAATTCACATAATAAAGTAGTAAGGCCCCTCTTATGAGAATAGAATCAAACAAAGTACTATTATAATCTGCTGCCAGCAGAAACTTTGATCCCTTCTCTGAATATTCCCTCACCTCCAGTTCCTGACCCCTTTGGGGACTGTCAGCTGCCTGGAGAAAGGAGGACTCTGTGGCCACACCGCACAAACCTTATAAAAGGATTAAATCCTGTTCTGGCTTCACTGTGAGTATTCTCTGTCAGCTAGGTTGACTGCTATTTACAAAAGCATGTACTAAAATGGTAAGATTTCTAGATTTTAAGGATTTGGCTTTCACATCTTTCTCCTTAATTGAAACTCTACAGATATATTCCTTTTTGGGGGAAATGAATTGCAATTTTATTTCTGAAGATGGAGTCAACTGGAGGTGGAAGATGTTCTTTCCATGCTTAACCCAAGAGACGTTTTTGTTGTTGTTATTTCAAAAATCAGGGGAGGAAGATATGCTGTGGGCTAGAGTTTGGGTCTTTAATGTGCCCCAAAGGCTCAGTGCCCGGCATGGAACACCTGGGAGGGGGGAGCTGAGGAAGAAAGGCCTAGCGGAGTTCTTGTCTTCCTCTTTCGGGGTCCCCACCCGGAAATGAGGGCTCTGCCCCACCACAGCCCCAAGTCATGGGGCCCAATGACAACGGACCAAGACTGCAGCCAACGTAAACCTTTCTCCTCACAAGTTGATCTATCTCAGGGAGTTTCTTACAGCACAGCAGAGAAAATTATCATTTGTAGCTCTTAAAAACAGTTGCAAATTCCTTTTAACAAGTACTTGAGAACAATAAACTGGAGGCTGTTTGCTTTCATTCACTTCAATAAATTTACTGCACTCCACTCCTGGAGGTGTGGACCTTGGTGAGGGGCCGGTGGTTTCAACCTGGTCATTCTCTAAGGCCAATCTCATTCACGGAGAAGCTGAAATAAGGCCGATATGGCTGTCAAACCCTGGGTGCACCGAGATCTTTACAGTGGCTGTGTGGGTCTGGTGCCTCAGAGCCAGTGAAGACCTTTCTGGCCTCCTTTCATTTTGTGTTTCACCTGGCTGGAGAAGCAGCGTAAAGTAGAGAAGGTCACATGGAGAGGGGGCCTCAGGCGCCAGAACTCCGCACAGTGGAGGTTAAGTGCTGCCCAGCAAGCTCAGGTGGGCTGGCTGCCAGGAGAAAGCACTCCTGTGCGGACTGGTAGGTTGCTTTCGAGAGAGCAGAGGCCTTCCCAAGCCTGCCTTGCTGAGACCCTAAGGAAGCAGCGTCCGTCAAAGCAAGACTAGCAGTCCCGGAGCTTCCTGGAATTTCTCTGCCTCCCCTGAGCCCTAGCAGAGGCTGAGGGATTTGAACATGGGCCTCCTGGTTGATGTAGGTTGATGCTCCTTTCCTTGTTCTTCCTCCGCCTGCCCCCTTCATTCTTTTTCTTTCTAGTACTGGGGAATGAACCCAAGGTCTTGCACTGTTGTTCTCAGCTGTTTTTCATTTGTTATTTTGAGACAGGGTCTCGCTGAGTTGCTCTGCCTGGGCTCAAACTCTGATCCTCCTGCCTCAGCCTCTCCGAGTGCTTGGATTACAGGCTTTTCTTCTAATACAAAGGTGTTTTGTAGGGAAACAATCATAGGTTCTCACTGCACAAATGTTTGAAACTGTATCTCAAGACGCCGCTGTGTCTAGTTTCTACCTTTCCATAGAGAGGTGATGGTTCTGAGGCAAAGCGGAGGGAAGCGATGGCTCTGCAATGCAGACCGAGGAGAGGAGCCACTGCTCCCCCACTGCCGTGTGAGTCTGGGCCCCACAGTGGGGCCTCCCCACCAGCCACACGGGTGTTACATAGGAACTTACCAGAAGCGCGGGCTCCCAGACCCCGCCCCAGGCCAGCAAAGTCAGAAACTCTGGGCCAGGGAGCAGCAATACTTGCTTTCAGGAGCCTCCTGGAAAGGCTGAGGCAGACTGATGTTTGAGCACCATGGACACAGGCTATGAAGCGTGCACCTCGCCCAGCAGTCAGCTACGATCCTGTGAGCCAGTGCGTGTCAGTTACGTCATTTTCTCAACGCGACCCTCGTGGATAACACGTGACATCCTTAAATAAACACCATTTACTACGGGACAACACAATTTACTATGGAAACGGTTCCCACTAAGGCAGACGAAGAGAAGAGGGGTGGCAGCGGCTGCAGACTGAAGGCCTGTGCCCCCCGCCTCAGGGACACGCGTCCACGGTCTCCATGTGCGCTTCTGGGTTGCCTGACCAGACTGCAGATCAGCACCCATCTGCCTGCTCAATGGACCCTTCAGGTTGTGTGTCTGCATTCGTGAATTAACTGAAGGGGCTCTGCTTACCTTGCCAACCTAGGAGTTCCTAGAGGCAAACCCATCCACAGGTAATGGATTCCATTAAATGAAATCTCTAAATTAGCTGACAGTGGAAATGGTTTGTGCAATACAAGTGGAAGGCAGATAGGTGTAATGGCTCACGCCTACAATCCTAGCACTTGGAGGCTGAGTCAGGAGGATCTCTACAAATTCAAGGCTGGCCTGGGCTACATAGTGAGTTCAAGCCCACCCTGAACTACATAGCAAAACCCTGTCTCAAAAACAAGAATAAAAATGAAAAAAAATCATGCTACAATATATACCTACAATGAAATCCACATATATTAACATAGACAGTAAGCAAATTTAAAATGATGAGAATTATTTAAAACTCAAGATTTATTAGGTTCTTTTTATCTTCAGTATTTCCCAAGCACCTATTTCAAAGTATTGGCACTTACTTTAAAATAAACCACCTACTTTAAAATGTCTGACTGAGTTAGAGACCTGGATTTCAGTCCTGAATCCACACAGACACCGCCCCCCAACCCACCATGGCGAAATACAAGTTTCTATCCATTTAGCCTTCTACTCTGCCATGGTTAAGAGCAGCCAGCCCCTGCCTTTGATCTCACAAAGTCATTCTGTTTCACAAATCGGATAACTTGCAAAGAAGCTTTATCAACAGTAAACTGGAAAAAGTCTTCTTTTACCTATGCCTAGGGACTCTGAACCCAGATGTGCTGTGCGTTCTGCATGTTTTGCATTCAGTGCCCGTGGTAACCACCATGGCTGGTGATGCAGGGACCTCACGGCAGTTTGCTGATGTGGTTGTGACCCCCTGTGCTCTTGGTGACGTTGCGATGTGGGGTGAGGCTGTGGGGTGATGTGCGGTGCCACTGCAGCCTCGGGAGCCCACGAGGACAGCAGCCAATGAATGATTGCAGGGAGCATGCCAGCACCAACTAGGCAGCCACTGGGCCAGGCACCGTGTACCTGCTTCATAAATCAAGTCCCTGATTGTCACGGCAGTGATTCTTCTTTTCTCCAACTTTTATTTCTTATAGATAGATGTTTGCAGCACAAAAATGTTTACTTTTCTCATGTGGAGTTGGTACAAGTACACAACACATATCACCTCGTTTTCCTACCCCTCCCTCCACCTCTTGGTCCTCTTCCCATGTGCAGAATATCTATCTCCCTGTTTCCTATTACCTATCTTTTGTTTGCTCTTTATTTATACTTTGGGTTTCTCATATAAGAGAACCCATGTGATATTTAAGCTTCTGTGTCTGATTTATTTTATTTAGCATTATAGTCCCAAGGAACATCCATTTTCCTACAAATGAGTCAAGTTTCTGTTTCTTTATGGAGAATATTCCACACTGTGTCCATACCACATTTTTGTTATCCTTTCATGTGTTGATGTATAGATCACTTCCAAGATTGAGTTGTTACGAGTTGCACTGCTATAAACAGACAGCCATGGATCGTTATAATGTGGTGTGTTTAACTCTGTGGGGAAAATACCTAAAACAGGATTGGCTGGGTCAAATGGAATTTCTAGATTCAGTTTTTCAAGGAATCTCCATACTGATTTCCATATGGTTTTACCAATTTACAGTCCCACCAACAGCGTACAAGAGTTCCTCCCTGGCCCCAACAAAGCCTCACTAGCATTTGCATTGTGTGATTTCTTGATGACAGCCATTCTTTCTGCAGTGCAATGAAATCTCAGTGCTGTTGTGATTTGCGTTATTGTAATGGCTAGTGATTTTGAACATTTTTTCAAGCATTTATTGACTATGTGTACTTCTTATGAGAAGTATTTATTCATCCCAGTTCCCCATTTTTTTAATTGGGTCTCTTATTTTGTGGGGTTTATTCTTTTGAGTACTTTATATAGGTTAGATATTAGTTTTCTTTCTAAGAAATAGCTGACAAAAATTTCCCCCCTTTGTAAGTTGTCTCTTCACTCTTGACTGTTTCCTTTGCTGTGCAGAAGCTTTTTTCTTTTTTGGTACCAGGGATCGAACTCAGGACCTTGTACTTTTGAT